CTTGATTTGTGTGGAACAGTAGCAGATGGAATAAGATTACTGGCAATTAGAATTCATACCAGACTAGGAATTTAAATATTAAAAGAAGAAAAAAAAAAAAAGAAAGATTCAATTCCCTGCCCTGTCAGAAAATACTGTATGAGCATCCCCTTTACCTGCCTGAGTCTTAAGTTCTTCAACTATAACTTGGGAATAATAATATCTCCCCCCCACTTCCTCACAAGGTTATAGGAAAAAGCATTTTATAATCTTCAGAACCTTATACAAATGGAAGACACCATTAGGTTAAGGTTCTACCTTTAAAATGCCTTCTATGTCATGTGTGAGAGAAATGTATGTTTATTGTGGATGATATTGGAGTAAAGATGTGAAGGAAGTAACTTGAGTATGTGATATTTCAATGCGAACTTGTTCTCACTGGACTAAAATACAATTCACATTCTTCTAACACTCTGTGCCCTACATTTAGATTTATTCTTTATGCCTTGCTGTTTCCCATACTGTCCTACTCTGGTATTTGATTCTTCCTTCATATATGGGGCAAAGAGTTGGAAGGCTCCCTCACCAGTTTTCAACCCTCTTATAAAGACTGTGCTGGAACAAGGGTGACTTGGTGAATTCCCCTCCTAGGAACTCATCATTGTTGTGAGAGCCACAGATTGTTCCCTAACATGTGTGAAGTGCTGTGAGAGAGCAAAAGCTGAGGTCCTCACCTCTGCTCTTCCCATGAGACCTGCCAGTCACCAAGTCCTATTGAATGCGTTCTAAATCTCTCTCAAATCCATCTTTTAGCGTCAAACAGGATATTCTCACTCCCGAATCACAGAAGTACCCAGCTAACTGGACTCTTCCTTTAATTATATGCTCCCACCTCCTGCCCTCTTGCCTACACAATCTCTTCTCCACTCACCATGCTGGGGTATTCTTGACAAAAACCTAAATCTGTACACATCAGTTTCCTGCTTAAACCTTGGATGGCACCCTGTCTCCTATAGGAAAGCCCTGTACTGCCTAAACGTGACAAATACGGCTCTCTAGATCTGATGTCTGTTTACCTCTCCAGCATCTCCTCGGTCACTTGCACTCAGCAATACTGAACTATCCCCAATTTCCAAATCTACTGTATACCCTTTTTAAAGCTCCATGCTTTTTCATGATTCTAACTACAGTTGCCCTTCCTTCACTCTTATCTATCTGGAAAATGTCTATTTATCCTTTAAAACTCTTTTCCAGAGTCACCCTTTCTTTGATGCCTTTTTCAGCTCTTTCCCGAAGTAAACTATATTTAGCAGTACATACTTCCATTATTGTACATATTACACCAAATTAAAGTTATTTGTTAAAATAATTTGTTTCCCCTTCTAGACTGTGAGCTTTTTAAAGGCAAGGATCATGTCTGATTAGTCTTTGGGTCTTGAGAAACTAGTAGAGTGTCTGGCACATTATCGCTACATTATAAACATTTCTTAAGAAAATGAATGGATGGATTCTCATAAGTGAAAACAACACATACCCCGTATAATTCGTGGGACTGAGCTCTAGTTAAAAAAAAAAAAAAATTCCTGATGGGCTTATCACTTATTTATCACTGTTAGTTCTGTTTTGCTCTTTTTTTTTTTGGCAGCTCAGCCGCTGCTCAGCTTGGGCTGGACTCGAACCGCTGTTGCTCAGAGCTCAAACTCTTGAGTGAGCTCTTAACCAACTGAGCCACTCGGCCGGCCCTTCTGTTTTGCTCTTTTGACGTTCATGTAATCTTCTGGTAAATTCTAAGATTGTAGGCGAGCATCTCATCTACTTGAAGGAGCAACACAAACTGACCCCAATTAGGCCTATTAGTGAGCCATTCACTTTGTGACATTGTGTTATCACAGACGGGTCATTTTCCTCTTCATCTCCTCCATACGACTTTGAGCTGCTATAGTTATATTGAAAGTCATGAAAAGCTGAGATTGACAACTTCAGAAGCAAAATTGCTCTCTAAAAGTACCCTCTGCCCCTCCCCGCCTTCTTCCCCTACTGAAAGTATTGCTCTGCTCTCTTTCAAAGCCATGAGAATGTGATCAGGTATTATGTGTCTCAAGTCCTACTGATCAAAGTGAAATTGGAAACTCAGGCTCCCAGAGTGGTGCTCCTTGCCTGTTGGATTCATGAGCTTACTTTGTCTGTGAGTCCCACCATTGAATCAATGTAAGCTGTGAACTAGCATGTCTCACTTTTTCACTATTATGACTGTGATCAATGGGTATTAAGTCAGTATTCTCAATTTTATCTGACAGTGCTGCTTCCCGGAAAACAGGGGGTAAAATGAGAAGTGTGTAATTTTACCTTTTATGTTTATCATTGTACAGTATCCTAGGCTTTCTATTAATTCACACCACTGAGTTTTTCCTTCTTTTCCTCATAAGGTACATATTTTACTTAAAAGTGAGAATTAATGCCTGTTGTGTAATTAATGATGATCTTTTACGAGTTAATTAACCGAAAAAAAGAAGAGGAAAAAGGTGATGAATAGACTGAAAGGTGACATCAACATAGTTTGCCTCTATTTCAACTTCTGTTTCATAAGGCAAGATTTTGTTTTAAAACGTATGGTCATAGATTATGATAGATATAAATTAGTTTCTCTCATTTCAAATAATTATCTCTGAAACTAGTACAATTTGAATTTTACTCTTCTCTGAGTCAGTTTTTGGAAATTCAATTGACGTCTATTTCATGGAAAGCAGACTTATCACTTATTTTTCTTTCCTGGTGTTTTACTGTTCTTTTTTTTTTTTCTTGGTACAATAAGTATACATAGTATTTGTTGATTGGATTTTGCTAGGCACTGTGAAGAATTTAAAATTTTTGACACTACTGCCCTTAAAAACCTTCCAGAGAATTATGCAAAAAGTTAACTAGAAAAAAAGATGTCACAACAGTACAAAATGAGTAGTACAGGCAGTAAGTGCTTGGAGTTCAAGAGCCAGTCTTTACCTCCCTGACATGTTCAATCAGAGCTTTCCAGCCTGCCATCCTTTGTGATTTATTTTTAATGTTTTGTTTTTAATCTCCTTCCAACATATAGACAGATACAGGAACATATCACTGGTTCTATCCCCTATCTCTCTTTTGACTAAGCTCTACTTCTGATCTCTTGAAATAAAAATTGGAAGCTATTTCCAGACTACTTGGTGAATGTCAGATTCGTATCTACCTACTTCCTCTGGAGTAAAGGACGTGGGTGTAGGTGAATTGGGGGACGGGGGACATGTTTTTCTTCAGATATCTTTCTATACGAGTGTATTAACCATACCTACCTATTTAAAATCTCACAGAAAGGGAAGTATTTAATCGTGTTCAGCAGTGAATTGTTACCAAAGCTTCATGAAGAACTCTGCTCCTTTCCAATTGTTATTGAACCTACCCTGGTTATATTATCACCCATTGTAGATAGGTACACACTTTCCTTAGCTCTGTAAACCCTGCCTTTCTTTCCTTTTCTGGCAATAGGCAAATAATCCTCGGCTCATAAAAACAACTCATGAGGCTGTCTGACCAGTTTGACTGGTATCACAATGTTTCACTGCCAATTTTTTCTTTGGCCCTCCCATGAGTCATTTTGTACACAGCACTATTACCTCTTGAGCACTCTTCTGCAAATAGCTCTGTTAAATATACCCCCAGGTAATAACCTCTCTTACATTCACATACCTTTCTTTCCACTTCTACAGCTGTAATTACCTCATTGTGTTTTCATTGCTTTTATACTTTTGCATCTCCCCCATTAGAATGTAAGCACCTTGAGGGCAGGAGCTATGACTTGATCACTGTTGTAGACCCAGAACTTCATGTGGTGTCTGGAGTATGGAAGGTATTCAATAATGATTTGTTAAGCTTAGCATTGAGAGAAAACCATAGCAGGCTATGGAGGCTCAGAGGAAAGGCACCAAACTCACCCAATAGAGAGTTAGGGGAATTTCAGAGGAAGATACACTTAAATTGAGACCTGAAGGGTAACTACAAGTTAGCTAGGCTTAGGGAGAGGGCAATCCAGACACAAAAATAGCATAGACAAAGACCCACATTTGAGAAAGAGCATGCAAAAAGATCAGCTATGCTTTATATTTATCGTGCCTAAGATTAAAAACATAGTGGTATACATATAAATGTATACATGTGCGTGTGAGAGAGGAAATCTTATTTTTTTAAGTTAAGTTAGATATAGTAAAAAATTAACTCCATCAACTTATAAAACCCTTAATACTTAGCCCCAAACCCTCGATCTGACTAAACATTTCCATTAACTTTCTCATTATTTTCTTTTTCCTCAAGTCAAATTTTAATTTTTTGTATCTTTTTTCATTCTCTGTTTTGTTGGTATTTTTAAAAATAGATCTACTGCAAACAATCGTAGGTTTATTTAAGTAGAGAGATGTGAGCCAACCTAACGACCTTACATGAAATTGTGTATAAGGGAACTATTGCAGGTGCCACACACTCAACTTAGAAATGAACATTTGGAAAATCACCTGCTTCTAAAATGAGGTTTTGGGGTGCACAAGGGACAACTTGCAGCAGAATGTGCTGGAAGGCATGCTGGTCTTAAGAGTCTAAACATCTATGCCATTAATTTCACTCAGTTCATGAGACTCTCAATCTCATCATTTGTTGAATGAGATCCATAATATCTGCTGTATTCTTCAAAATTGAAAGAAGCTATATGTGAAATGAATTGCCTAACCAATTGTAGACGGTGGTATTCAGTTATAGACAGGGTCATCTGCTATTGTAGTTATTGTGTGTTAGAAAGTAAAAATTGTATACCCCCTGCAACAACATTATATATGGAAAAATGTATACAGCCATTTAAGTGAGTGAATATAAAACTTTTGAAATACACAGTTCTAAATAGTTTGTCTCCGTGTTTGTGGCCTAACTACAGTGAGTATGTTTACGAGGAAATAGCTATTTGCCACAAGCATGAGGATAATACATATTGTAACCATTTTGTCTTATAGAATGATTGAAGATAGTGGGAAAAGAGGAAATACCATGGCAGAAAGAAGACAGCTGTTTGCAGAGATGAGTAAGTATTCAACTTTTAAGGAAGACCCTACAATTTTCATTGAATATTCATGGAAAAGCTGAAAATAACCATTTAATCCTTATGACGTGTACTTTTAAAGTCCTAAACTTCTTGCATGAAATGTACATTTTGGCATTTTTACCTTTTATTAGATAAAAGTGAAATTAGTCGGTGAATCATCATAATTTGTTACTACACTATATATTTTATATGAAAGAAAAAGTTTCATGGACCTAAATGTGTGTGTGTATGTACGAGAGTATATGTATACACACACACACACACACACACACACACACACACACACACACACTCAATAAACACTATTTAGTGTTGGCATTAATACAGTCCACTAAACTTTAAAGTCTCTCTGCACTATCTCAGGATCCAGCACATTGTAGGTACTAGAACAGCATTTGTGAAATGAAACCTTGAATGTCTTACCTGCAGAAGGATATTGTTTGTTCATATGGGAAAGAGGAATCAGGCATGATTACCAGACCAAATTATAAGCTGTCATTTGGAGTTCATGCAGAGCGGAGAATCTGTCCTACAAACCAGTTCCTAAAAAGTGAAAAAGAAAACCAAAGTTTACAAGAGCTTGTAGGTGACCTGCTATACAAGAGAAGCCAAATCAATATAATATTTACTGACTCTGAGGCAGAACCATTAAATAAAGGGACTGGTTTATGTAAATTAGTGGTTGGTAGTACCTCCCTTATAGACCATGTTTCTTATTCATAAGGAAGAAAAACTGGACATTGGGAGAAGAAACACACATCTGAAATTAAATGTTATAGAGGAAAAAAAAGTACAATTCTCTTATTGTCTTTTTATCTCTCTTTCCCTGCATAAGAAATGAGGATGAGCAGAAGTGAGTTGTAAGCCTTTTTCCCTGAGAAGGCAATAGATAAAATTAGGTTTCTACTGAAGATTTGAACTGATTGGCAAGAATGAGGGTTGGAGCAAATAAAGGAAAGTCCCAGATAATAAGATTCATATTTTCTTTTATCATTTCCCAGTAATCTGGTGTCACGAAGACAGTGTTAGAACTAACAAAGAGAAAAGAAAATTATAATTGATGTGGGGAATCTCAATCATGTTCCTTGCTTTTTCTACTTGTAGAAACATGTCTAAAGTGCCTGTAAGTGTTTCAGCCATGACCTTCCAATTTTCTAGGCCATGTGTGGTACTGTATCTTCACTTCTGGCATGGCTAGTCACCTGGAATTATGACCTTGTTGATACAAATCTAACAGAGCAAGGAACCTGGTTACTCCCTGCCCATCTAAAGCAGCACAGATATCCTCTCATATCATAGGTTCTTAGACTGAAAAGGCAAGAGTCATGTCCATCATGGGCCAGTGTTTTGACAGTAAAAGAAAAAAGTATTAATATTACACATAAAACAGTAAAGTCTTGGGGGGAAATTCTTTGAATTTATTATTGTTACATTGAAGACTCTAGCAGTCAACACACTGTAAATAGTATAAAAATGTGCAGATTTAATAATTTTTTAAAATACTGATCTGAGTTTAAGCACATTATCTCAGTTCCTTCTGTAACTGGTGCAGTGCCTGGCATAGACAAATGCATATGTCACACATGTGTTTTGAATTAAAGTTGTCCAACTCAAAGAAAAATTGACATAAGTTTTATAGCCATAGAAAGAGAAAAGCTCTAAGTTTTTCAAGTGAGAGAGACTTAGGAAAATTATGCATTTATTTTCCAAACTGTAACTTTGTCTTTTACAGAAAATTCTCAGGGTTGTCATGTACTTTATTAAGTCATTTTATGAGTTCTCCTGATTAGTGATCAGAATAGTTAAGTAAGACACAAAAATATGTATCTTTCTTCTTTGGGTATGCTAAGTAATAGACTCAGATGTTGGTCAAAGACAGGTAAGCACATCTGACCTTAACAATCCATTAGTGGGCATCGTGTTTAGATCAACACTAAATAGGACATGTCCACAGTAACTGGGATTTTGCCAGTAAGAAAACTGACTGATTTCAAAGGGGAGAATTGATTTTGATAGGTAGGCTGTCACAGAAAAGAGAAAAGCAATCTCATTGAGAACATGTTAAGTGGTTGAAAAATATATGGGTTATACCCCAGTTCTATCAGCAGGACACCAAAGAAAGACAAGGAAACTACTCACAGAAGACTAACTCAGAAACTTGGAAAGTAACTTCTTCTAGGAATCTGTGCTATCTAAACAGGAAGCTTAAAAAAGGGGAACTTGTAAATGTAATCAGCTAAATATTATCTAGAAATATTTTTTTTTAAATAGCAAAAGAAAGTGCCAAAAAGATTCTTTGTTTTGGAAATTACAAATGTCAAAGAAAAATTGCCTGTGAAGGAGTTAAGAAGGTGAGGAAGACTTTATTCAAGACTATTGCAACAGGGGAGGGAGATTGAACTCAACTCCACAGAACAAAAGATGGGGGGGTGGGGCCAAGGTGGAGAATGTCATTTAAGCACTGGGGTCAGCTAGTGTAAAAGTACTGAAGGATTTTAGTGTGTAAGTTGGTAGATTGATTGTGCTTGCTAATTCTCACAATTAGGAAGTTAGGCTTCTACCCTCCCACTGAGACTGGGAGATCTCCTTTAATTATTACATTTCAAAGAGATGGCTCCCCTGTCCTTGAGAAAGATATTTCTGGGTTGTAAAACTGGCAAAAAGCTAGGAGATTTATATCTCAGTGGAGCAGACAAAGAATTTACAAGGGAAATTTTTCTAAAGTAGATGCTCTAAAAAAAAGTTCAGAGGCCTAGAGTCAGGAAGAAGCCTGAATAAAGTTTAGTCAAGCTGAGGGGAACATTCAAGTATCTTGCCTTTACAAAGGCCAAGAACAGAGGACAGACAATAATTAATAAGAACAACTGATAAGAAATTGAGGTGATTACAGCACATATGTGTTAAATATCTACTCTGGTGTCATAATCACAAAACAGAAAGAAATGGCAAAGAAATGAAATTAAGAGTAGTGTGGACTCAGAAATAAGCAAAAAAGACTAACCTTATATACTATAAAACAATAACAATGCAGTGGCCACCTACTTTGATTAAAGAAATTCTGGGCAAGTTGCCCTTAACCAAAAAGTCCCTTCAGTAATAATTCCTTAATTATCAATTTATCTAGTGCCTTAGATTAAAGGTGCAAAGACTACCGTATTTGCTGGCGTATAAGACGACTGGGCGTATAAGACGACCCCCTAACATTTCCACTCAAAATACAGAGTTTGTTATATGGGCAGTCTATCTGAAGTGTACCTGGTGTATAAGACAACCCCCCACTTGGAGGCATATTTTTCAGGGCCAAAAAATCGTCTTATATGCCGGCAAATATGGTAGTTAAATGTAAATATCATCCTCACCTTGGCCTTTCCAGCCATCGCAATAGTTTAGCAGCTCAAACAAGTTTACCACGCTGCTTTTAGCAGAATAAGTAGTTTGTTCTTGGAATGAAACTCGCCTTCTCTGTTTTCCTGCTTTCAGAGCACATTTATTCTGCCTTGAATGATGCTTACTCATGAACGTGTCCATGTCATTTACTATTGTGAAATCCTCCTTAGATTCAGACCCTTAACCTTTTCTCAAATCCATTCACCTTAGAGGCTGAATCAGTGTTGGTTTAAAAGCCTCCAGGGTACAGGATAGGTAGGTTTTAATGGGAGGGAAGTGATTAGAAAACACTCTTTCAGAACTTGGCAGGGCCGGTGGCAGGTTGCCTAACAATAGGAGGAAGGTCTGGGAGAGAAAGCAGAGTGACCTCTAGGTGAAGAAGGAACCAGAAATCAAAGGGAGGCAAATGTAGGTACTCAACAAATACTGTTGGATTGTTTGAAGGCGGACTGTCCTTTTTCAGAATGTTGACTACAGTCAGCAGGTGCATAGTTGAAATAGGACCCAGAGCATGATTTTGCAATGCACAGTATGAGTTTTAGGAAACTTCAAAAATTCAGAAAAATGACATGAATGTTTCCATTACCATAGGCCACAGTGGATACAGTGACCATTTTTACTTGCTTCTTCATCTCTCATGCTTTCAGGCTCTTTAAGATGTTAACACCATGGGTCACTATCCTGTAAATTTTCTCTTGTGTCACCACCCTAGTCTGTCTCCTTGCTTTTTCTGAACACTCTACCTCTCATTTTCTGTCCTTAGTGCCCTCCAGAGCCCCTGAAGTCAGGTTTTACCAAAGTGATGTTCTTGGAGAATTCTTTCCATATATAATTTGACTTCCTCTCAAGGCTTCACCATTATTGTATGGCTCTCTAGTGTCCAAAGATTCCTTCAAAACCATCTCCCATATTCTCATGAACGAACTTATCCAGAATAGTCAGCGTATAAACTCAATGTGCTTTCTAGGCTTCCCTTCTCACAGTCAAAGCTTCTACTGATGAAGCAGCATGAGGTGGGCTCACCATTGACTGCACTAAGTGCTCATCTCAAAAAAGTCAATGTCCCTGCCAAGGGCTCTGCCTTCTAATATTTCCAAAGCCGTGTTCTTAAACAACTACCAGACGGTTGGGCACTGATGAGAAGTGGGGAAGAAATTTCTATTCCCAGTTGTGTCCCTCATTTTGTCACCTAAAATGGGGAATAGCCTTACTTGGGCACAAGGCTCCTATTGGAAAATTATTCACAGTCTTGGCCCAGTCAAGACACATTGTCACAGTTTATATGTTTGTTAATAACTCCTGGAATGCATTCTATAGTCAGGACTTCCATATTCATATATTCAACTGCTAATGGATTGTTTCACTTGGACATCCACCAAGTACCTCAAACTCATTGAGCCCAAAACTAAACTCTTCATCTTCACCCACCTACAACCTGGTCCTCCCTGTTTGTGCCTTAGCTTAGTGAGGGCCACTCCATCCCATTGAGTTAGTTATCTAAAGTAGAAATTTGAGCATTATTTTTGACCCCCAAACTTCTTTATACCTCTCTCTCTCTCTCTCTCTCTCTCTCTCTCTCTCT